TCGCATACCAGCAAATTTTCGTATGCGAAAGCAATTTGTTGAACTCAAACTCTGCTTAAGAAATCGTATGCATTGCTGCTTCACCCACTCAATTTGAAACAAATCTGATGTGCGCAGCAATTGCTCAACATTATCTTTAGTGAGTATTATCATCCCGCTATAGATGTACTTCACGAGTGCCTTCACAGCAATCAAATCCGCATCATTTAATTTAAGAAATGTTTTCGTTTTCTCCTTCATATCATCTACAAAAGTTTGAAATTGGTTTACTTAAATGCTATTTCGTAATTAACTAAAATCACTTACCCTCAAAAATCGCAGCAAAGTAGGGTGAAGCAATTGCGAGGACCAACTTATGAACGTGAATAACTTCACCGTCTACGTTCAAAGAAAAATCGCAAAACTGTCGAATGAAAAGGTGGTAATTTCAACGAGTGGTTGTTATTCATTTTGTTGCTTACCTTTCGACCGACACGCATTGTATTTAAAACGTGAAAAAAATCGCTACTATAATCGCGGTTTTCGCATTTCTCTACTATTTCAACATTAGATACATTCCCAGTTGCCATGCTGTTGGAGTTTTTGAATTGAAGATAGAAGGTTAATGCTATAGTACTGAAATTGAGAAGAGATTATATCGTAAGTCATCTACGCGTATCAGTATTAAAACGCAGAGCCAAACCGGCGGATAAAAATTTATGAAAAGTTATTATATTAGACCATAAGTCGCATATAGTTTTATGCTATATATTTAGCAAAGCAAAAAAGTGGTAGGAGTGGTTAAAACTACTTAACACTGTCACCTTAGCAGTGAATAAGTTATTTATATTAAGATTCTTTAAAATATCTATACACCGATCCAGTAATTTGCGAAATATAATTTCGATTCACTTCAAGCGACTTGTGGAGTTCACGTAAATGAAATGGAAATTAAATGATTTGAATATGAGCACCGTTAACTGCTGCGGCTATTCATTTTCCAGTAATTTTAATCTAAATAAATTCTGATTAAATTTTCGTCTTGCGATTATAATCTTTCGTAGATGGTTAAGTGTACGCTCTTGTACTTTATGCTTATATCACTGTGATAAGCAATCAAGAATTGCTTCAGTTATATGAAATGTTTAGCTACTGAATGATGATCCAATAAGGAGTAAAAGATTGCTAAAGCTTTCATTGTTAGTTTGAAATGTTACGTATACATGAGAATAGGCGCTAATTCTGGCCTTATGGCTAAGAAGGAGACTACGAACTTCATAAGTATATAAAGGAAAATAACACAGAACTTTCTTATATTTGGGGTTTTTGCTTTGAATCATTCACGATGCGATTGCAAAACATCTTCCACGGTTGACAGTGATAAGAAAATATACGGTGAAGGGAGGTCCCTTCAGAAGAGCAAGCTTATTAAAGGCTTATGAGAATGGTGTAAGTGGGTACCACACACTATAACAGTCTAAAAACATGATGGTGGACTATCAATCACCGTGAAATACCCTAGGTCAACCACGCACAAACGCTTATTAATATGACGATATTTCAAAATAAAATGTTATATGGGAGTTACGTGAAAAAATAGTCCTATCCGGTCAATATGTCAAGAGTTTGCGACCTGTACACAAGAAAACACAACGAAAGGAGGGACAGGCAGGCCTAGTTCGATCCAGAAACTGATTCCTCTCTTCATTGCGTTGTTAACACTACAAGTGAACCCTTGCTCCTGTTTTCAGGTATAATATTATAGACGCTGAAAAAAAAGATTCCTTCGCAAAAGAAAATTTATTAACAGCTTGTGAAAATAGTGTAAGTGGGTAACACACACTATAACAGTCTAAAAACGTTACGGTGTGCTATGGATCATCGTTAAATACCGTAGGCCACCCACCAGTGCACACTTATTATTATGACGATGTTTCAAAATTATTCGTTATATAGGGGTTAGTTGAAAAAGCAGACCGATCCGGCCAATGTGCCAAATGTGTATGTTGAACACAAGAAAACAGAACGGAAGGAGGGAAGGGCAAGCTTAATTCGATTCAGAGAGTGACTCTCCTCTTCATTTCGTTGTTAGCGCTACAAGTGAACCTTTGCCCCCTTTTTTCGGCTATAATATTGATAGGAAAAGTTTGCGGTGGAGAGTGGGAGAGCATGAAATGAGGTAGAAGAACGAATTATTTTCGTGTTTTTTGTCCCTTCTTGAGCGTATCAAAGTTCCGCCAAGAACTCTAAAGCGTATAAAATCGGTTGGAAGAGTCTTCTGCATTATCGGGGTATAGTATCGAACTAATTAAGAATACATGCGCTTTATGGAAATTTTTAATTCGACTATAAGAGAAGTAGAAATTAATATCGGTTTCATATGTATTTATCGCTTTTCTATGAAAGTTAAAAAAACAGAAAGTGTTTTTAATTATTCATTAACACTAACTTTTAACCGATGTTATTATTTAAATTATGGCGGAAAATGAAAAGTCATTTGAACGCGCTCGTCATGCGACGAGCATATGCATTTTGCACATCAACAACAATACTCCCAGTAAGAAAAAACTTCTTTCACGCATTAAATGAATTCTTATGTTTGTGTGTTATTCATAATTTTGAACATAGCACACTTACGGTTGTATTATCTCAGAGACAACTAAATGGCAAGATGTCCCAATATTTTCTCAAAATGTAAATCAATAGAAACTCTAGCATTTTTCGTGTTTCTATTATTAAGAACAATACCAATAGCGCTCTGAATTAGCAACCATTTGATTGCTTACTCTTTCATTCTCATCACCTGGATGGGCAAGAATTGTGCTCAACTGCAATACCTTACAAAGCATAAACGTATATATAGAATATGCGCTATAGTGTCATATCAAGTTTATATGTACGAAAAAAACAACAAAGAATTGGTAGATATGGAGCAAATATTTCTTTTCCTTTCATTGTCTATTTCACATTGACGATATCCCCATTTTATGTTCACCAAATGTTTGAATAAATGTCGATAATGTAATCCATTGTATATCATAGAATATTCTGAAATATTCGTATGCAAATAAAATTAATTAATAATAAGTATATTAAATAAAGATAAATTTATAAAATAACATTTTTTTTAATCATAAAAAATTTCTTCAAGGAATACGTCTACTGAAATTTCTTGACGAATGTTAAATACGATTTCAATGTTAACCATCCATATGTTTTTTCTTACAGGGGTAGGTATACGAAATACATAAATCTACTGTTGCCCTGTTAATAATCGATTGAGTGTAACAGTTTAAAATTATTCTTGCCCATGCTAATAATACTAATGAAAGACTAAGCTGGCTGTTAACTAACTTAAGTGCTGCTAGTATTATTGATAGTAAAAATATCAAAATTGCCTGAGATTTTTCAAGTTTGCATTTTCAACAAAATGTTGTGATATCTTCTTATTAAGTTGTCTCTACTTATATACTTTCAATGCAAAAAATTTCGCGCCTTAACTACAATTACATTGTTTAATATAATAAGAGAGAAACGGGGTGTGGAATGCCATTAATATTTCTGATGTTACGTTTGGAAACTACAGCTCATTTCGTTAAGGGCTTATAATATATTTTCCCCCCACAATAACAAATACTTGTCCTTCAATTTGTGTAGTACGGGATACTCAACAGTTTACATACAATCAATATTAAAGCCTAACAGGAAATTTGCTGTGGAAAAATATGCAGTAAAAACTTTAGCATAAGCATATTCTCAATTATGGTTGGCCACAAAAATAAACTTCGAGAGTGGAATGGAATCATAAACGAAGATTTCGCAGAGTTCACTAAAGATTCGGTTCATAGCGAATATCTTTTTTTTTCACTTAGTTCGAAGTGATTTATTATCGATGCCAATATGGCCGAAGTAGCTTACTTTTTTCTTGCTCATTATCTGCTCCGGTTAAACTTATTATTTTTCTTCATTTATTTATGCCTAAAATTGTTTTTGTTTTATACTCACTTGTAAATCTATTATTATTTATTTTACACAAATTTATAGAATACTATCGCAATTTCACACAAATTTAATTTATGCTTATTGTTTTTACAAAGCGATGGATTTCTCTTAATTAACTTGTTTTTTTTAAATAACCGCGTCTTTTGCAAAGGATGATCACTCATATACTTTATAAACTGAACAATAGCAAATTAAATCAAAATTTTTTTCTCTCATTCTTTTTTGGTGTTGCCACATTTGTTATTATAGTCACCACGATCGGTATTACCATACGAAGAGAAAAGATTTGAAATGAAGTTCACAGAGATAACATGGTAAGTAAAAACTGCGATATGTGAAATGAATATCAGTTTCATTATTATTCTTATCGTTCAAATTGTCGTTAACTTTAATGTTAGGGTTCAAGAACCATTGCCTGTCGATCAATATCTTATAAAAGAAAACAATTTCAGACTCCATAGGCCAACGATTAGTTACGCTACCTCATTTCGCCGTAGCATTATTGCTTTGAGCAATTTTATTTTACTTATGTTTTAACTTAAGTTTAACTTTCACAAGTTTTGCGCATTACAAAATTTTACACCAATTCTAATAACCTAGTTTAGTACAACTCCAGCATTGAGCAATAACCTATCTTTACGCAATAACATACATTATACATTAACCTCGACTTATTGAATACCCTAGCATAAGCACAAATAAGTTACGATTCAAGTTTACTTATAAACGATAGTCAAAAGATCAGTAGCCAGTACGAAATCATCAACAAAGCGACACGCAACAAACGTTAAAAAATTAATTTACCGTGTTTCACTGCATCACTTGATACCGTTATTTACTTGTCTTGGTAATAATACACTGAAAATTATACATTATTTTCAAGCAAAGGCTGCCCGAAAGAACACATGATGCGACCAAAATTTTGCAAAACTTAAATTATTTGCAAAAATTTTATTAATTTTCAGTTTCCGTCGTAAAACATTAGAAATTGGAATTTCCTTTCATATAAAGACTTACTTAACATGATGTTGAAGTGTAAAAAATTACATCTATGTGATCCAAATTGAATTCTTTTGCTAAATTGTTACTATGGGCCAATTTTCTTTATAGAATATTGTAGTGTGATCGCATACCGTCGTATGCATCTGCTTATGAAGCCGCGCCGAATAGGGATACACTTACACCTCATCCTTTTTCCAAGTACCCATACCAGGGAAGGATTCATAGGTAATCCTCCCTAACACTGCAACCCATTCCATCTCCACTACACATCGGTTGCAGTAAGTTCTTTCATTTTATATTATTAAAAATTCAACCTTTTTCTAAGAGGCTTACTATTTATTGCGAAATCTTATATGGTGTGTGATCCAAAAAATAGACCAACCTAGTGCGAATTTGATCCACTTAGTTTTGATGTTAAATGACTATCATGAAGTCAAGTATTCATAAGAAAACATTAACAATTAGGCCTTTATCATACAAGGCTTTGCATTTCCTGAGAATTCTTATATGCGGCGTTAAAAGTAGATCTATGTGGTGTGGTGTGATTGACTTGTTTCTTTCCAATTCACTATTATGAGTCAATTTTCATCATGAAATATTGTAAATTCGACCTTGTTGCCATATAAAGCTGTAGTTTACACAGGAACGGTTGTATGGGAAGGAGATCCAAAAAATTTCCCCAACCAGTCCAAGGTTTTCACATCAATTTACAGTGCCGAAATACTACTACTTAGCCACCTGTGCCGAGAGATAATGAAAGTTACGACTTTTCAGAATAGGGCGTTTTATAGAGAGTGATCGAAAAAGTTGACCAATTCAAACCATTTTCAATAGCGTTCGTCCTTGCGTCAAAAGATGACAAAATACTAAATTTTATCAAAATACCTCAAAAATGTCGACCTGTAGCTTGAACACAAATTTATATGAACAGGCATAAGGCAGATAGGCAGACTTCGGATTATGATTCTGAATCGATCGGTATAATTAAAGGTGGGTCTATCTTAAGCTATTCTGCGTGTTACGTACGTCTTGTGCTACAAGCGATGCAGGGCATATATATGCTTTTACGTGGAAACGAGGTATTGTTGTTGGCATTTTATCATGAAAATAACAGAAGGGCT